ATCTTATATAAAAATTATAGACATGTTTAATTTTTATATTTTATAAAATTATTAAAATGTACAATATTAAATGAAAAAATTATGATTTTTTATGTTTTTATCCAATAATTTTTTATTTAATTTGATTAATTATTATAAATTTTTATTATTAAAAAAGTGATAAATATAAATCAACATAAATATAATATAAATATAATAGAATCATACAATTTATAAAAGTTTATTGATACAAGTTTATTGATAGTTAATTAATATTTAATATATTATGAAATAGTAATAAGATGTAATTTTTAATATTTTTTAAAAAATTAAAACATTTTGTTGATTAAATATCTTTATTATAAATATTTTTCAATATGTATTTTTATTTAAAAAAAATTATTTAAAAAAGACTATTGTAAAAAATATTATAAATTATATTATATTAATTAGACAATTATAATATAATTATATTATATTAATTAGACAATCAGTTTTGAAAATTAACTTTATTTATTGTAAATAAGTTATTTATTATTTATTAATATGTATTGATTATGTGAATTATTTATTACTTAATTAAAATATGATAATTTATTAATTTATTAAAAAATTATAAGCATATATTATTCCTATGAAATTGATTAAATACAATATAGTCATATTTTATATGACTAATTGTGATATTAATATAAAAATAAATATATAGATCATAAATTTTAATAACTTTAATTGATTATATTAAAATAATAATTGATTGTTTTTTTTTTATTTATTCATTTATTTAATATTATTACTGTTATTTTTTTTTTCTTATTTTTTTAGTAATATCTTAAAAATAAAGAAAGATCGAATGGATTTTTAATAATTAATGCTTTTGTTTTATTACAAAATTAAAAAAAATTAAAAAATTAAAAAAAAATATCTGTAAAAAAGTGAATAAAGTATGTGATATTTTTATAATATTTGGTTGTAATTACTGAAGAATGTTTGATCTTTTTTAGTATCCAAATCAGCCACCAAATTCAATGAATATGCCACCAGATTCATTGAATAAACGATATCCAGAATCATATCCTGATCAAATAAATCATTTAAATAATCAAATGAATATGATGTCTGTTACCCAACTTGGCTATAATAAATTGTGGGTAAGTGTATTCATTTTATTTATGTAAAAAATTTTGATAATTTAAAATTTCATTTAATTCTTTATAATTTATTAATATTATATATTATTTTAAAATAATTTCATTATGTTTTTATAACTTAATACATAAATTTTATATAATTTAATAAAAATTAAATTTATTTAATTATTTATTTAATTATAAGTATTTAGCAATTAATTATTATTATTATTATTACTATTATTCTTTTATTGTTATCTTTATTCAAGTAACATTATAGATCTATTTTGTCTTAGGGAATGGAGACTATTGATCTTTTACAATGTCGAAATGTTCTACCTGTAGAAAAAGTAGAGTCACCAAAAATTAAACTCCATCAAGAGTTTTTAGACAGTGTGAATTGTAGTCCAGAGTAAGTATTTCTTAGATAAAAAAATATCGTAAAATTTAAAATTTATAATATAAGCTTAATAAATAATATAATATATATAATAATATATAATAATTATAAAATATAATAATATTATTGTATATATTAAATAAATTCATTAAATAATAAGTATAGCATTATTATTAAATTAATTACTTATTTAATTTACTATTATAATATTGATTATTTTTTTAGTTTTTATTATTTCTAAGTTTTATTTTTAATGATTCTGTGATTTTTTTTTTTTAGTATTTTCCGCTGCACACTTACAAAGATTCCTGTGTCAAATTCTTTGCTACAGAAATCTAGATTGCCTCTAGGAGTTTTAATACATCCTTTCAAAGATTTAAATGTAGGTAAAATATTTTCTCTTAAATGTGAATATAGTAACATAATATTTTTGTATTTTTGTATAGTCTAATTTATTAATAACTATATTATTATACTTTCAGCATTTACCAGTAATACAATGTAGTACAATAGTTCGTTGTCATGCTTGCAGAACATATATTAATCCGTTTGTATATTTCAATGATTCAAAAAGATGGAAATGTAATCTTTGTTATAGAAT